AACAACAACAACAACAACAAGGTTATCTCACTCAGTTCACAGAAACGATCGCAATTTTCTTCGAGCAATCAAAAACCCTTCGAACATTCGCTGTGAACTGTCATTTCGGCAGTAAAGCTATTTTTTTTTCAGTGGCTTTACTGAACAAAAATGGAACACGTTCAGTTCAACGTTCGTATTCAGAAGGAGAATAAAAATTGAAGCTCATGAAAATCGCAACAACATTGATTTATTTTCGAGCAATTTTCGATGAACAAACAAAAAATGAATTATAATTCGAAAAGATGAAAAGATTAATCGCTATCGAATCCACAAAAATCCATCAATTAACAGTTGCCTATCAAAGAGCAACTGACAATGAATATGAATTGAAAACGACATTTATTGTCTTTTTTGATTGAACAAAGCTTATTCTGATGATATCTTGTAGCATTGGCTGAATATACCCTGATCGAACCTGAAGTCACAAATTGAATATAACTTTGCACAACTTAATTGCAAGAAGAGAACTGAAGTCATGATTAGTCTCATGGAAAATCTCGACAAAACAGTTGAAAAGCCTCATGAGCTTTTCATCACAACTACTGAATCAATTGATTCGACACATTTATAGTTTGACCGAGCAGTCGAGATAACTGCCATCCGTTATGGTTCATGGAAACCAAATTCAGAATGTGCAAAAGCAAAAAAAATACGATCTAATTTAATAGTCACTAATTAGGAACCTATATTGGTGTTGACTGTGTAAGTCTGAGTATCTCTTGAGGTGTTAAATCAGGACATGCATTATATTCATCGTCTAAGTTGGAATCTTCTCTTTGTGGCGTTTGTTCGGGTGGTTTTGTTTCTTCTTCAATTTTAGGTGGTGCTTGCGGTTCAGCAGCCTGAAATGCTTTGTTTTTACCAGAAATTAGACTTTACCAGACATTCATCATTCTCACCGAATTAAACGATCTGCGTTCAGTTCTTCAAGAGGCTGAATTTAACTACATCATTACAAGAATACTGATGAGGTTTAGAATACATCCTGAGAATACATCCTTAGTACTAATGATGTTCAAAATAATGATGTCCAGTTCTGTTTCACCTGTTCGGGTTGTTCTTGCTTCAAGCCTGGCTCCGTGTTCTCTTTGGGTGTTTCAGGAGGTTTCGGTGGCTTTTCACTTGCCGGTGATTGGAGAGGAGGTGGTAATATTGCGGGTTTTACATCATCATGATGATGTGATTTTTTACGTCGACAGAATTTTTTGCAACATTTCTTACAAGGCTTGCAGCATTGTAGTGTAAGACAAACAGACACGATTATGATTTGTATAACTGTAAACACGTTTACAATGCATGATAGCAAACATTTCACGTGCGCTTTCCAGATTCCATTTCGGGATTCCCAATTGCACAACAATGGATTCAGGATTCAATTTCAGGATTTTTCAGGATTCAAGATTTTTTTTGCTCAATTTCAGGATTCTTGCAGTATTTGATTATGCAACATACTTTGTTGCAACATTTGGTTTGATTCAAACTAGGAAAACAATATCACTGTTTCCAAAAGCTCATCATATCAGAGTGCGTTCAGCTCATTCATAGAATCCTTGATCTGTGGTGATCATACAAAACACACAAATTAGAATTCATTCGAAAAAAAGTTCAGCATTATATACCTGATGAATACCAAATGAATGAAATTACATTATCGATGACAAATTTGAGCATATTTGATGTTATCAAAAGATATATTCTTCCTGAAAACACATGATGAATTGTTTTGCTGGCAACAAATGTGAGTGAATGTAATTTCGTGATGATTTTGAATGCGTTCAAGGTGTTCAGATCTGATCAC